AAACACATGCTTGCTTACTCTTTACAATGGCTCATGCACATATTTCTACAAAACAGTAAGAGTCAGAGGCGCTGCAGGATTTTCTCGGAGATTTTCCGAAGATATTGAGGGGGCAGGTGAACTGACCGCCGGCGTAAATCGAAACGAGTAAAAATTGTATTGAAACTCCAGCCCGCTTTCAACAGTGGGCTTTCGCCAGTCCTTTCTTCCGAGTCCATCAGCAAAGAAAATCTTAAAAAGCAATTTTAAGCACGCGCGCTCGCCGTCGTGAGAAAAAACAGCGACGCCCGGCGTTGCAGTCTCCACGGGCCGCGCACCTCAAAACACCACACAGCGGCGGTCAACAGAGAGGCGAAAATGACCACCGATCGGAAGTGTACGCCCAACGCTTTACAGAATCAGTTGATATGCGTGTAGGAGGGATCGTGACCGATTTCACTCATGCAATTTTCAGGTTGATACTGGGGACGGATTGACTACGAACTCTTGACGCAATGATGCAATCTCTTTTGCTCTTGCTGCTTGCTGTAACTGCCAGTGCCGTTCAAAGCACATTTAACTTTGAAAGTGTGCGGGTAGACTGCTCTTGTCAGGAGCTGAACGGCATGCCATTCCATCCCGGAATCCTCAGCAACTACCATTCAAACGATACCGGTGACCTCCTGGTAAGTACGTACACTCTTAGAGGGGTATATCGTGTACCCGTACCCTCCCTGATGCGGCAGGGTCTCTGACCAGGACATGTTGGGCCAGATAGACTCAGGGGCCCTTATTGTTGCGAAAGGATCCCTTACCGATGCAGGGAGTTCAATGATTGGTACCAAGAAATAATTGGGCTTATTGGCCCCTGATTGAAATGCTTATTGGCCCCTGATTGAAATGCTTATTGGCCCCTGATTGAAATGCTTATTGGCCCCTGATTGAAATGCTTATGGCCCCTGATTGAAATCGTGAGATAGACCACTCGTTCGGCACCGGGGCCTCTGACTGACACAGGCCTTTCCACTGTCTCGTTGTGAATGCGAACCCCTGTGTCCTCGCATTTCTTTTAACAGTCAAGAGGGACCCGACCGCCGCAAGAGGCCCTTGACATTCGAGGTCCCAGCACTGTCCATTTTCAGCAAATGTGCCGCTCATTGACGTGGGGTTTTTGCCGACACAGGTTACCTTGCTAGACACTGTGGGGTCGTTGACCGTTTCAGGGCCCGACCAATGCATTGCAGGCCCCGGCCTTGTCCCTGCTTGGGAAAGGGGCAGACAAGAGACCAGACCGGCACGGAACCAACTGTTCGGTGTTGGTGGTCTCAGTCCGCTGACTGATATAGATGGCCCCTTTGTCCCAAGGGGCATCCGATGGGTGCAAGACGTTCTCTGAATTTGGGGGTCTGGCTTTCGGACTGCTGCCTCTTCATATGGTCTCCGGTCTGTCTTTCGTACCTCCGAAGAGCTTCCCATCGGGCTCTTGTTTGCTAGCCTCAAGGGGCCCAACAGTCCCTCGGTACCCTCGGGTCTAACGGGGGGGGGGGGGGGGGG